TTGATTCATATAAATACATCAGCATCTCAGCTTTACTAAATACTAAAATATATAATTTATCATAATATCAAATAGAAAAGAATGTCCTGAATATTTTTTTTCTAAATTCTCAAAATTACGAATCTACAAATAAAAATTTGCAAATTAATTTTCACCATTCCAAATCCACGAGTCAAAATACAAAATTATAAGGGCTGCTTTGAAGAAAAATAAATTTCATAACAGGCATGATGTTTGACAATTTTAAAGTAATTGAGTTTTGGAAGTTAATCAGTAAACATAAAAAATCTTTGTTAATTCCATTATTTTAAGATCATCTCAAGGTTAAATTAACCCTTATAGATTGATTTATTTGGAATACCAATGAGGATTTAAAGTAAAACATAAAGAATTTTCTATTGCCAATAGTAGCTGAGCTTTCTGAACTGAATCTTTCAATCTGTATGTCCTCCATAATATCTTTAGAACAAAGATGCTGCAAAATTTACTATTTAAAGCAGAAGGATGCAGAAAAAAGAGTTCTTGCTGTCTTATTTCCTTCTTCCTGAGAAGTTCCTGTGAACTTATTCTTCAAAAAGAATAAACATAAGGACCAAAACAGACCTTCTTTATGTGGGGGATTACAGAGAGGGAAGGAATGGCTACAGGTTTCCCATTTAACACTACCATCACAAAGACACAGGTTACAGAGATGGAAAAAAAAGTACTGCAGGAGCCCCTAAACCTGTGTGTGTGCATTGCTACCATGTAGGATTTACTGTATGATTCTGCAGTCATCATTAGACATTGCAGTTACTTGCTACATCTTTGCTGATTGCCCTGGTGCTACTGACCTGCTTTCTCCAAATCCTCAAGCTTTCAAGTTTTCACTCCTGTAGAAGTGCCTGTATTTATAGCTTAATGACTAAGAGCAGTTTGCAAACTTCTCCATTCCTGTAAAATCTCATCTTCTTAATTTAATTTCTAAAATATTAAATTATCTTGCATCTTTGAGCTAAATTACATTCTCCACATGAAATATTCAACCTCTGTGCTCTCTAGTTGGCTTCACATTTACAGCTTTTTTTTTTTTTTTTTTTTTTTTTTTTTTTTTGAAACATTTGAATAGGAAGTCCTTTCTGATTACACCAGACTTCTGAAATAATATTCTCTATGCATACTTTCATAAAAACATTGAAAATTCTCTCACAGTCCTTCAGCTATTTTACATCTTTGTACGTGCTTAAATTCTGGAATTAAATGTGAATTTCTCCATCCAAACTTACGAATGTATTGACTCACCACCCCACAAGGGCATTTAAATTTCTCATTGGCACCATACTCCAATTACCTCTTAAAGAAAAGCTTAGTTTTTGGAATGTGCTGAACAAATGAATAAGTATCATTTTAGAAAGAATGCTTCCCTTATTATCCTACATAACAGAGAAATAAGAGAGAGAAAAATTCAAACTGAGAATATTCAGATCCTGAGCCATCTCACCAGTGAGTTGATTGTTCACTCTTCTACTTGTTAACTCAGATAACTGTATTGCATTTAAAATACTTGCTAAAAGATTAAACCATCTAAAAAGTTAGAGTGACTCTATTACAGTGAGTTCATTTAATGTTGCTTTTGAAACATTTTACAGCAGTGTAATGATAGACCTTAATTTATTCCAATTATCTTTTGTTCACTTCAATTTATGAACAGTGAAGCTGAAATAATCAGCACTTTTGCTCCTTAGGCTTCTAATAATATATTATCATGAGTATTGTACAAGTCATCTTTTTACAGCCATCCCACATACTAATTGCAAATCTCTATTTTTATGGTAAGAAATGGGTGCTAGCAGACAACTAGGGACAAGATCATTGGTTGCATTGAAATGCTTTGGCACAAAGAGTACTTCACTGATTAAAATTTTGTTCTCAGTAAACTAATAAGGCAAAATAGGAAAAAAAATAAAATATGTATTCTCAATTTCTAAATGCTTCATCTACAGCAGGAATAAGATTTGCATATATATTCCCCAGAAAAGATCTTGGGACTTGTATCACCTACTGCAGATTAACAGACTCTGCTCTGTCCACTTTTGTAGCGACAATTATCTGACTACTTTTCAACACAACTGAGTGGGGAGTAGGGAACTTTTTCAAGCAGTCTGTGTTTGAAAACATGGACATAAAAAATACCAAGCTTTATATTCACTCATTCTTGTGGTGTAATTTTTCATAAACTGGCTGTGAGTTCACATGTCAGAGGCAAAACAAAGCAGATGAAGACAGTAGGCCAGGTTGTAATAGTCTATGTTTACATAAGCAAACGTAATGAAATTATAAATGTAAATTAGAAATTTAAATGCAAATTATAAATTTGAATACAAATTTCTCCCCTTTGAAATCTTCAGACTTCCAACAGCCAGTCTAAACAAACTCCTTTCAGTGTTCTTCTTCTTATTATTCATTACTGGTTTGTACCATAGCCTCCTTCACTGATTTACCAAGATTTTTGCTTCACTATTAGTGGCTGGAATAAGAAATTCAAGAAAAGCTTTGGGAAACGGTCTGTAAGCAAAGTTTGCATTTTATTAGTTTTGTGAGAAAGAGAAGGATTTCTATGCCCCTCATCAATACTACAGAGCACCCTCTAAGAGTCAACACACAAACTGCTCCTGGTCAAAAAAATATATATATTTAATCTAGAATTAAGTAATCTATATTTTTAAAGCCATACCATGGGGTGCCAAGCTATTCTACTTATATAATATAACAAACAGCAATTTGCTATCTGTAAAAATCAGTAGGTTAGTCTACACATTATTAGAGAGGTTAATGGCAATTTTGTTGGTTTTACTAAAACTAGTATTATGTGTTGTTTGTTTTATATATCAACAGTTATTTATTGCAAAAAGATTATAGCCAAAAACTGGCTTGATTTCTAACGGTATTTGCTCAAAACTATTTAGCCCTTATCTCAGCAGTGAAAGGAAAGTTTGATTGGATCTTAAAACAAAGGAGACATTGCTCATACTATCACTCCTCCCCTCAACTAAGAGGATACAGAACCTGTCACCATGGCCCTTCAGCTAAAGGTAGCTGTGACTCACCACACACAGATGAAAGCAACTAATTGACCTACTGAGACAGAACACCAATTGCCAAAATGATTTCTTCACTGTCTTTGGACTAGGCCTATTTTTCCTGGTCCCTTTCCCTAAATAATGTTTACCCCTACTGATTTCTGTTGTAATTACATGAAAATCAATGTGCCTAAATATCAGTTTTGTTTTACTGATCCTTTTATACTGCATATCACTGTGTATATATCAAGAATAGTTAGGATAGAATACATAGAATAGAATATTACTATTATGATAGAACACGTATCTCATAAACTCATTTGCCTGTACCATATAGAATTGTACAATTAAACAAAACAATCATTTTTAATAATTCAAGACCATTTTTTCCCTAGCTGTCATGTCTTTGACTCTCAAAGACTTGCATACATTAATATAACTTCAAATAAATTCATTTAACATTATGTAAAAGTGTCCAACAGGATCCCTCAGCTTAAAAGATGTCGAAGGAGACACTGGAATGATTTTCACTGTAGATGACTACTTGCCTCAACTGTCAATGCAAATCTCAAATGTCAGTGGTGATGGGTAAAGAATCTGCAAGGAGCTACGCAAGTAGGAATCCCCAGCTGTATGTTCCTTTCATGATAGAACTCCACAACTTTGTCTTCCCCAGGGCAATGAAATAATAATAAACATCAAATTTAAATAGTAAGAAGGCTAGTCAACCCAGCACTTGGTAATTTATGAAGCAGTAGGTTGCGTTCCCTCAAATCATGCTGCTACAAATATAGCAGGGTGGGTTTTCTATGGTTAAGAGTAGGGGCTGCAGATTAGTTCAAGGACACAATACGAATTCATCTATTCAGTTAAAGCAATGTGGCAATAACGGCACTTAAAGTCACTCTCTATTCAGCCATATAAATTTACACATTCCTTTCTGAATTGCACATGGCTGATTGCTAATTCCTTGTTAGCTAAGTTCCGTAGAAAATTAAAAATATTCTTTTTCATCAGCAACCTCTTTAGGAGAAACAGAATGTATTTTTTGGATACAGAAAAATAGATCAATTACAGATAAATATTCCTAGATTCTGGAACCAGATGTAGAATCACCTTAAATTTGAGGTTTTTGCTTTTAAAGGACTACTAGTCACTGAAATAACTAAGTGTATCTTTACAGTTGGAGACACACATTTACATGTGACTTGAGATTTTAGTTAAATGCGCATGTTTTTTTCTTATAACTGTAGAAAAAGTGAGATCATCCAACTTGAAAGGGTGGAATAAACAAATGTTAATTATATGATGAGACCTTTCGAACTGCAATAGGTCTGTGCCACATTGCAAAGAACCTAACAGTCCAAAGCATACAGAGTGCTAATGAATATCAAGGCAAGATTCAGATGTACAGACGGCAGAATTTTTCTATTCTAACCAGTAGAAATGTTACAGAAAACATATCAAATGAAAATGAAATTATCAAAGGAATAAATTGAATACAAGATGCATTTAACACAATATAGCAAAAGCAAACACTTTCAGAAGTAGAAGACATTGGTATCATTTCCAAAATAAGATCTATGCTCCTAGCTTAGAGATCTGTACGTTATGATTATTAATTCCCCAAGTACACCTCAGATGGTATTACATCTCAACTTTAGTATGTAGAGCAAGGGACTTATGAACTTTCATTAAGATAAGGAAAAAAAAAAGCAACAAACAAAAACCAACCAATAGATTACGTCAATAAATGTGTTTATTCATGTAATTTAAAGAGCTTTCATTTAGCCTATTAGTACTGTATATGAAAAAGGGTCTTCCAAAGCAATACCGAAGGTGCATGGTCTAATATTTTCAAGATTGTTTTTACATTATATTTTTTTTGGAGACAGCGTTACAGTTCATTTCCAAGTTAAATAAAAGTCAGCCAAAACTTACCTTATATGAGTAATGATGAGGGTTGTAGCAGGAATGAAAAAGTCATCCACTCTGTCAAACTGCTTTCCCACTGGCTGAGTATGGATTGTGTGATGAGAAACACTCCCACTGGCTTGTGTTATCACCTACATAAAGTAACATTATTACAAACTATAGAAATATTCCTTCAAAGTTTAATCTATATCTAAATAGATTTGTAGAGTATTGCTTCTTTATTCCACTTCTGTTTTATTCTTCAGCCATGAGAAGGAATGCAAATGACAGTGAATAAAAATGATCAGCATTACAGATTTCAGAGAATTGTTGCATGCTAGACAATCTATTCTTCACGTGTACTTTTTTTCCTCTTTTTTTTTTTTTTTTTCCTACCACATTTACATTCTACAGCAGCCTTTAGTGCACACCAAGATTTTTGTCTTTTTTCATACTCAACACTAGAGTGGGAATGTCTCTTAAGCACTTCAGCCCAAGTGAAAAGATAAAATGTTATCAGCTGATCCACAGGAAGCTATGGCTACATATGATCCTAAGTCTTTTCAAGCATAAAGAGATCCAACATAGCATATATTGAATATATTGAATTGGTTGCAGTTTATGCATACCTTGAGTTGTTACGAATAAATTTTCTTTGAATTCTCAAATCTTGAATGTCATCTGAGGTAGAATATTATGGGTGAGTAAAAGACAATTTTATATTAATAGCTGCTATGATGTTCATTTTTGCGCATTTAAGACTGGATTTAAAAAAAAAAAGGAGTTGATCATGCATCATTCAAGGAAAAACAAGACTGAAAATGAATGCTTCCTCTAAAACAGGATATATCTGATTCAATTATTAGTCATTTTTTTGGGGAGGAGTGACAACCAAACTCCCACAAATTACTTTACTCATTTACAGTTACCAGGAGTATAAAAAATCGTTTTCAAACACTACTCATTTTTCTGTTTGAGCTCTATGGTTGATTTTTTTTTCTTATTCCTTATGCATTTAAAAGACAAATAAGGACTTCACTGACTTCTAAAGAAAAGGAAAATAAGTTGAAATAAAAAGTAATTTTGAAATTACAACACAAAGAGTATCACTGTATTCTCATGGGATTACTTTAAATTAGAAGAAAGGAGAGGAAAAGCAGAAGAGAAGCACAGCTTCTTGAAATGTTTCTTTGGTGACTGTCCCTAGGCGTGCTGCTGCTGAGAAAGCATGGGAAAAATAAGGATTCTTATTATTTTATATCTAAAAAAAAGTCCCAAACTCAAAGGAATTAACAATAAATAATGTTGGAACTCTTGGCTTGTCAACTCCAGAACACCATCATAATCTTAGTGAAATATGAATATATGCCTAAAATCCATGGTATCCTCTGATTAGGAGCAAAATCATAAGCAGCATATCTGTTCTCAGAAGACTGGCAGACTAGAAAAACATGCCATTAGTTTTCAGCTGTACTCTATTACCCTCCATCGAATCAGCATTTACATTTCTAAGTAAAAGCGTAAAAAATCTCTTAACACTTTCCCAGCAAGTTCAGTTCTTTCCGGTTTCCTGAAAACATTTTCCTACCTACACAAATATTCAATTTATTTAGATTTCCTAATATATAATCAATCTGATCAATATACTCACTTGCAAAGTTGGTGAATTCTTCTCCATGTTTCCCCAGCTCTGCACCCAGACTTGATCATGTGACTTATCATAGTGTAGTTTCACTGGAACAGGATCCGTACTTACTGCCTGCGGGTAGATAAAATGAAAACTCCTTACTCTTGATCACATGTTGAAAAGAAAAATAATAGATGACTATAACTAGACATGCCTATCCTGATGTGTTCAGATTATATTTAAAAATTACATTGTCAGATGCTGAAAAAGACCTCTGATTAATTCAAAGTCACTGAATTGCTGAGGCAATGATTTTTATTCATTATATTTATTCATTATGTTTATGTTTTTTATTTTTTTCTAATATTTTTTCTAATAATTCTAAAAAAATATTTTTATTCATGATGTGTATTCATTATGTTTATGTTATTCATTTATTCATCAGTTTATTCATTATAAAATTTGGCATCAAAAACAAGTTATATTGGGGCTATTAGGAAACTGAAAAAAAAATGTTTTAAATCCAAACAAAAAATGCTAACCTTCCTTCCCTACATTTTCTCATATCATACATATCAATTTAAAATCTAAAAAATACTGGAAAACAACTAAAAAGGGAAGAATATTCTCAAGCCCCATACTAAAGTCAATGCAAGATATTCCTACACAGCCCTGCCCAAACAGTGTTATTGCACTCTTTTTAACTGGATATGTTTTCTTCAAGTTAGCAATATTATTAAGTACATAAATGTTTTCCTTACAATTTCTACTTTTGGAAGAAGTGATCAGTACCAAGCTGTTTTCCCTCCTTGAGTTTTGTAGCCAAAGACTACAGACTTTTTAGGCATTTAAGGTTTACGCTTTCTTTATTAGGAGAAGCACTGAAGATTCCAGAGATATGAAAAGTGAGGACAGAATATTTCAGTAAGAGATATTCTCCATGAGGCAAACAACTGTAGGGATTACTGTTCTATCTTCATCATTAAGGCAGCAAAAATAAGTGGAAATTGCTTTTTAGTCTCACCATTACGGAGCTGTAAAGCACAGCTTGTTTATCAGTTTGTCAAGGAGAATACCAGCTGGCTAATTAAGTGAAGGTAATTTAAAGTAATGATGTAGATCCTCAAGATAATGCTCTAATGGCTGGCTGAGGCTGTTGATGATACTTAACTGTACTCCTGAGGTGTTGCAAGCCACAGATTCATCTGGAAAAAAAAAAAAAACAACAAAAAAAAACCCCTACCATTTTTACCTTTACCTTTTGAAAGTGGTAATGAAGCCAGGTTGCTCACTGGCTCATTTAAAAACAAAGATGCCCCTTGAAAAGGCCATTTTTGTTTGGTAACACTTTCTGCTTCAAGTTAGAAGACAAGTTGTCTAAAACAATACTTGGGCCACTGTCTAGTTAACTTGCTGAGGTGTATCAAATTTCCATTTAGTTTCCTCAAATGAAGGTCTGACCCATGCATCGTTGCTGAATGAGCATAAGTTGTGTTCAGGAATTAGGCCATGGTACTGCCTGAAGGAGAAGAAATGCCTGTGTAGTCAAGCATGGACAATGCAACTCCTAAGAGCCTGCTGGCAGCAGAAAGATTCTTGGAGTTTTGGAGACATGTTTTCACAGCTGTTCTGGGCTATCCAGGCTAAACTGCCACCAGCACACTGTACTAAACAGTGATGAGCTCTGGTTACATCAGCACGCCTTGAAATCATCCCACTTAATTTCCTACTGCACAATTAGAGGTTCCTCTGTTTCAAGAATTTACAAATGAAAGAAAACTATCTGGCTAAATCAGAAAATCTATGCAGCATTCATATTCACAGTTTAGAAGCATTTATTTCAATGTAAAATATCTGCTCTAGGATCTTCTTCAAGCGCTTATTTTGATAGCTATATTTATATATCAGAGAAACAATGAACCCTAAAATCTAGGTGTTATAGATATGCACCTGATAGACACCTCTTTTACATTAACTTTTATAGTAAAAATGAATAAATGTAACATATGCACTCATAATAGTACTTCAGACAAGCAACCACTGTAATCAAAATCAAATCAACATCAATTTTATAAAGAAAAGAACACAGTTCCACAACTTGCAGCCTTTTCAATTACACTTTTAGCTGTCTTTGGGGTTGTTTTATTTTGCACCTTAATGGAATTGTTATCATTGCATCCTGCTCAGATCCAAAATACAAATTTTTCCCCACGTTTGCTCTTAACATATTTTTGAAAGTGTGTTGTTGCACAGAAAAGCAATTTCTTCTCTAAGAGATACAGTAGAAAAAAATATAGTGTATGGTATCCTCTATGCTAATATATCATATATTTAAAAAAGAAAAAAAAATGGGAGTCCAGTAACTAAAATTCTCTTATTTATAATTAGCTTAGTATCTATTTTCCAAAACTGATTTGTATTTTGATGTGGGTTTTTTTTGTTGTTGTTTTTTTTTCAATACGGGGCAGCGCTGTATATTATCAAAATAGCCTGTCATGACTGAGAAGTTAAATTCCCTTCTTTGCTTCTCTAGCCTTAGTGTATGTGCATATGCCATGAGTACAGCATCACTTAATACCAAGGAAAATTCTTGCTGCCTACAGAAAACAAAACCAAAAATGAACATTCAATATTAAAGTAAAAGGAAGACAGGGCCATGCCTGCTATATAATAAAAAATGGTGAGCAAAGCATTACTTGACTGACTTGTCAGCAGATTCCAAATTTGCTTCCTTTGATTCTGAAAGCAAACTGTGAATCAGCAGTTTTGTTTTTTATGCTGTTATTCTATGTATAAAAGAATGTACAGGTTTTGTGTTTTCATGATTGATTCATTTTATTGCAACAAACCTTTTTTTTTAAAATAAGTTGAATCTAAATATCAGCGAGGTTAAGCATAGCACCATTCAAGTCCCACAATACATTTCCCACATCTTTCAGAAAATATACCCTTGGAAATTATTTTCAGTTTAGTAATGAATAGCAGAAATTTTGCTCTGCTGCATATTAAGCATTTTTAACATGTAAAACAACAAGAGAATTTCTCATTAATATCTGAGTATCCTAGAACCATAAAAAGCGAGAATTCCGTTTCTATAAAAGGTTCCACAGATGGTACAAACATTCTGTGGATGCCTGGACATATTAAAAGTAGTTTTAAAGCAATGCTATCCCATCTTTTGAAATCAAATTTATTTTTGAAAGCGTAAAAGTAGAATGTAATTTAGTTTGGTGGGTTTTGGGGTTTTATTTTCCCAATATTATCATGAAGGCTACTGAATGAAATGACAGGAAGTATGAACACTGATGTTTGAAATACAAAATCATAAATATTAAATTTATTTTTATCACATTAATTCAATTTTAAAATCACACTTTGCTGTGAATTCTTTTAAAAATTTACACTACAATATTATACATATATATGTATATATGTACATATATATGTATATATGTATATTTATGTATATATGCATATATATACATAATCTTCAAAGATTTTCATTCATTTATTTACAAAGAAGGCAAGAGACATGAAGAAAATAAGTATTTTTATTAACAATTTAGATTAGAATTCTAATAGAAATCCCTGTTATATTTAGCTAAAGAACATCTGTTTCTTATGAATGTCATAATACTGCAAGTAGTTCTGTAGATGTGATTATTTGTAATCATTTATATGACTAGAATTTGAATCAGAAGACTTAACACGGTGCCAAAAGTTCTGTGTCAGAAAACCTCATGCAAATGTTCTTGTTTTCAGAGAACAAATTATTAACTAGCTTCAGACTTCCTTGCACAGGAAATAACTTGAATCAAGAAAAAGCAGAGTCCTCTTATTTAAGCACATTTGAAGAAGTTTTATATGACCTGTACCGTACTAAAAAGAAACAAAATAAAAAACAAATGAAACAAAAAATTAACAAGCCCCAAAAGACTGTTGACAGTCCTGAGCTGAAAGCCTATTTATTTTATTTTATTATTTTATTTTACTTTATTTTTTGCCACTGAAAGTGAAAGAGTACTAATTCTTCAGGCAGATGCCATTTGATTAGAAAAACTCAAGACTATGTAATGAAATAGTCTATTGTATGTAAAGAAAAAATAGAGTAACATGGTAAGAACCATAGGCAGAAAACAAATAGCAAAAATAGTTTGATTTTACCTCAAAACACAAATGTTTTGAGTTTTAAATAATCTCTTCACATTCAGGAAATCTTTTAAAATGTACTGGATTTATGGCTATTACTTGCTAGAGGCATTCTTACACATCTTTGGCAATTCAGTATAAATCTGGTTTAACCTCATAGTACAATGATATCACCAATAATGCATTGATGCTATAAAAAAAAATGCACAACACATTAAAGAATTTAAGTAAGTGAGAAGGCAAAAGCACAGTGGTCATAGTTGATTTCTATAGTGTCAACTAAACATCAGTTCTCTTTCAACTCAATGGGATTACTGATGCTCAGGCTCTGAAGCAATCGAACTTCTTTAAAATCTACCAAGATATTGGCATTGCTTCTCCAAAATGTAATGAAGAAACTTGTATATAAATTAGACATTAACTTAAAAACTACGAATAAATACCTGTACAACTTTCTGAGACTGTACATCAACAATAAGCACTCTGTCAAGTGTAGGTTGAGTCACATAAATGAACTTGTCTTTTACATTTACAGCAGTTGCCCAAACACATCGCTGAACAGAATCTCCATCAGCTTTGGGACAAACTTCATCCTGCATTTCAAGAGAAACAGCAAAAGTGTAAGAATCAAAACAGGTAACAATGCAATAGAAAGACAAATTACAGCTCTTTTTTTGTCCAGATATATGCTGGGCATTTTGTCCAGAAGGATAGTGTGAGATATGGAACTGAAAGAATAGGAAAGTAAGTTCATTAAAGTGGACTTTTCCTGCTTGAATTCTTGTTGGCTGTGACCAGTGACCACGTGTCTTTTATGGAACAGTGTTTTCCAGAAGTAGATGATGAATTTCAGTGCTAACTTTTTCTGTTTCATCAACATTCTTCGCCTGCTGTGCCTCTTTGCATTTGAGAAAATACTCTTTAAGTGTTTTGACTCTATAAGTCAAAATAAAAGATAAATCAATTTCCAGCTTTAACTGAGGGAGTTTCTTAACAGGACACCAATAGCTTCTGCTTGTACTCGCATTTTACTTAAACTTCAATTAACAGAAGATCTTTCAGAAACCACATTGATAGGGGAAGGTTACTAAACTCAGGTTCCATGGGATGGCACATAATCAGGAACTTAGTCATAAATAAAAAGAGTAGGATTCATCTTGCATTGCTAAAATGTCATACCTTGAAGGAAAATGTTTAAAATCTTTTTCTAATGAATGATAGGTATGGTTACAAAGCAAACTTTTATTCTTAAACATTGCTAAAAGCCTTTCATTGCATAAAGTGAGCTGCCAACATAAACAAGTATGCTACTAGTATTTTGTGCAATCATCAGATAAATTGCAATTTGCCTTCTGTGAAATCGTCACTTCAGTTGGAAGGCTGTTTCACTGATCTCAAACTGCTTTATATTTGCACTAAATATGCCTCGTCACAGCTCAATTTTTATCTAAACAAATAACTAATTCAATATTGCATGACACAGTACTCTTGCTTCCTTGAAGAGCAATTCCTTCAAATAATGTGTATCTAAATTCCTAACTCTATCACACATCATATTTTTCTGTCTTAGGAACTGACCTTAGTTCAACCCATTTTTTTGGTGTTATGATTTCTACAGAGATAAGTTCAACCTATCTGCAAAATAGCACTAACTCTTGTTGGAGAAACCCAAGTTTCTGTCACATCATTTACAGCAGCATAAAAGCGTAATCATACTTACTGGTTCTAGAATATTGTTTATATTGTTATTAATTCTTACATTCCAAAGCCAATTCTTTACTCCCAAACTGGAAAAAATTAAAGTAAAAACAAAACTATGTTTTGACAGTGAAAAATATGCCTAAATTCTCACATCTGAAGAAAAAAAAAGTTTTTCCCAGCATTAATTGGTTTAGGCAGGAATTTTTTTCCCTTGTTAGTCAAACTCACATTTACCTGGATACTCCAGAAATAGCTTTAATCAATGGAACTCAAATCTTGCTTTTGAAAAGTTAACAGTTATCTGATTAGATAGTTCAGATTTCTGTAATTCTCTCTATTAATTTCCCCAGTGGTTGAATTAAAATATTTTCTCCTTAAAATCTAAGCATAAAACCAACATTTTCTTCTCCTAATTAAAGTATGAGCAATTTGATTTTTCTTAATTTATTCTCTCTGAAAAAGCTAAAATCTGATAAAATATTAATTTATTTCATTGTTTTTTTTTCTCCCCAGACTTTTTAATCAAAATGTTACTCGCCCAGCATCAAGCCAGCAGATGGAGGAAAATAAATCCTCAAAGAAAGTTTTTCAAAGTAGACTGGGACAACAAATCCTCAGGAGAAAACACATGCTTGCAGATTTATATGTGCTAATTCCTTGTCTATAAATCTAGACTTATTGCACAAGAGTACTCAGTGTTTTAACGAGAATTTGAGTCACGATCTTTGAACAGCATAGTAAAAAGTTTATCCATGCTTCATCTGCTAATGACATCAACAGTTCAGAAGAGTGCACATATTAAGGCTTAAATTTATGTATCACCTATTCCACATTAACTTACAACAATAAATTGTACATGACAAGTATAACTATTATTCAATTATTTAAAAAAAATCAGACTCAGGACCTTTTTGTCTTTCGCTCTCTTTTATTTTCCCTCTACTAATCCTGCACTTAGTATGCTTCCTGCATTGCTTAAGTGTAATCAAAATAAATTTCTATGTAATAACTAGCATGTCTTAATGTCACATCCATTGGTAACTTTATTCTGCTATGTTGTTACATTTCCAAAATCAATTATTATGAAATTTTGATTCCATCTTCCACAGATACTCAACTTCAGGCATTCAAAGTTTCAGCTTATTGAAATATGGTCTTTATGTTCTATTTCTCTGAATAAACAAGAAATCAGGGTATTTTCCGACTGATTTCAAAGACGTTTTATAATTTCTTTCCCTTCCTCCCCAGAAATAGACATTCACTGGGAGAAGAGAAGGGAGACATCTTTCCATAAAATAAGAATTTAAAAGGCTTTAGATAACATTAATTTGCAGAAGATAAAAAGAGGTTGCATATTAGATAGAGGAAATATATATATATATATATATGTGTATATATATTAGAGGAAAATGACCCTTACGCAACAGGATGACAAGATACTTAACAGCTCAAGGATTGTATTTGGAGCATGTTTAGAGGCATCCATATGATAATAAGTTTAACATCTGTCAAAGCAGATAACCTGCATAAGAAAATGGAAATATGTCTATTTCCATCCCTATTATAAGTACAATAAAACTCATTTTTTATTTGGTACTTATTGAGAAAATTCCAGTAATTTAAGTAATTCTGGGAAGAACTGGAGGAAGCTCTTTAGAACTTCCTGGGAACTATGATGGTCCTACAAGACACCAAGTCTTTTCCTTCACTTTAAACACAGTAAGAGCCTAATTTATTCCCATGTTAGTCACACAGTAAAGCACTTCACTGTACTGACACACAGTTGCATAAGAGGCAATTAAATATTCAGATAAGAGTTCTCAAGTATATTATTATTGAGAAATTATATTTACTTTTAGGAAAATTAGCATACCTAAATAAGTGCTTGGTCAACTACTACACCATTCATCCACAGTACAATGTGAAGCTAGGCAGAAACACCAAATTCTTTCAAAGGAGTTCAGCTAAGTGTAACTCCGTTTTGTTGACAAGTAAACAGGAAAGCAGAGGAAGAAGACTGCAGTATTGTGTGTATATCAACTGATGAACCTAAACAGCACTGCAAAATTTATGTATGGTCCTAGACTTCAGCAAATATTTGTCAGTGAAATGGGTCTACTGGGGCTTTACTAATCACTTGAACATGTCATTGAGAAAAGTGTGAAGAAATGGAAAAATGATTTCCTGTAGGTATTTCTTAATAGGCAAGCAATAAAGATTTTATTAGCAACAGACAGAATAGATGGGAAAGGCTGAATAAAGTGACCTAAAAATAAACTAGCACCTCTAATTAGTTCAAGTTGTATGACAGTCAAAGAGAATTAATAGTGAACAATTTACAACATGGGCTCCTACAAATAAATGAACTTGATAAAAATTTGACCTTGGGATAAAACTGAACTATTTTGCTATCTTTACTTAGAAAGAAAACAAAAAAACAAACAAAAACAAACAAACAAACAAACAAAAAACAAACAGATTTTCCAAAGAGGGTGAAGAAGAAAAGATCTTCTGCAAAGGAAGCAATAGTTATCTAAATCTTCATAGTCAACAAGGTTTTTCAGTAATGTAGTATTATATATAGTAATATTAGCAGCACATGCAGGGAATTCTTTCAAATTCAGATTTTCATATATATATATATATATTTATTTTTAATGGAAAACAATATTTTTCCTTCTTTCTTTTACATTATGCAGATCTATGAATATAGGAATCTAAGAATATCTATATCAAACATTTCTGCAAGAATAAAAGATCTAGCAACTTTTGTAGTAGGTAAAGGAAAAAGTTTTCGGTGTTCAGAAGAATAAGTGGAAATATTATTGAAATTAATGGGTGCAATGTATGCATGCAAACACAGAGTTTTACTTCTGGTTATAAATTTATCATAGATACCAGATATTCAAAATACAAATCTACATCTACTTAAAAATGAAAGCTGTATAGTAGTCTGCTTTCCTGGTCTTTTTTTTTATAGCAGTGGGAATCAAGAGGGAATCAATTGCTATATTAATTTATGTTTGAAAATAGCAAAAATGGAAAGAAGTCTTACTATCCATCCTGATAATTACCACATTTCAATAAAAATACACTTACACTCTGGGCTGCACTTCAGACCAATAAAATCTTAGCAGACTTCTTAAATAATCAGCTTTTGAATTCAACAGCCATAAAAAAACTCTTTTTTTTTTTTTTTTTTTTTTTTTTTTTTTTTTGGCTATGTCAACCTGATTTCACTTTAACTGCAGAAACCGAGGTATGATTAGCAGTTCAAAGTATAATTATTCACACTAAAATAAATCTTGCTGTTGAACATAGCAGTCTTTGACATCAATAATGATAACTGAAGAGGCAAAAGCCATTGAGACAGCTCTGCTGCTACTTCAGTGTTTTAGGTATTAGCCAAAAAAACTGTGCAGTTATGGGTTATTACACACCTTTTTTTTTTTCTCATTTCAAGGTCATTCATTTAAATTCAAACGAGAAAAAGTGAATAAAAAAGAAAAAAGCAGAAGGAAAACATTCAATCTAAAAGAAAGATTGAAAATTTGAACTTGACCAAAGACACAGCAAATTTTGAGTCCAACATTTTAAGCTATATATTAATTGGGAAGACATGTCTGAATTTATTAAACAGGTAACATGAAACTAGCATTTCTTAATTAAAGGAAAACTACACTTGAAAAAATACTACCAGGAAATTAAAAACAAGTTAAAAAAATAAAAATAAAAAACAACTTGCCTGAAAACCGAGCAGTTTTTCACTAGGCTTAATATGCCTCTGAAATTCACATTCCACTGGTTGTATGACTTTGATTCCATCTTCATAAAAAACATAAAACATGTTCCCAATTCCCAGACCTTAGGAATAAAAACACATTGAAATGTACAAAATTAAATAATCACAAAAAAGAAAGTCCTGGCATTGAAGTAAAACTCTCATCATATTACTGGCAGAAGATCAGTTTGTTAATATGTATAGTTCTAACACAACCAGTCCTCCGGGATCTTCTTCTGTAAAACTGAAAAATCCTTCTTATGTTATTCAGAATTTTGCATGATTTTCTCCATTGGCAAGGAGGTGTCTTTATGAACACAGAGCTAGAAACACAAGCTATAGTTTGACAGCTGCAGAAATGAAAATTGTCTTGTGAAAGCATTTACACTGAAATCAAATTCACCATGTATTTGTATCTTTCCTTTTCTGAGAGAAGAGTTAAAATAATTTCAGTATCACATCGAAACTTAAGTTCTGAATCTTTCTTAAAATTCTTCGTTACATTCTTTCACTTAGAAAAGGATTTATTATTATTGTTATTTTTAGCACAAATTCAGTCAAAGTTTGAAGTGCTACAAAGAACTATTTAACCCTACTGCAGCGTTGTGGAATGAGAGGCATGATGTAATGTTTTGTAGAGAAGGCTGAAGGCAGACCATGCACATGACCACAAACAAAAGCTTTCTTCTTAGTTTACCATGTGTTAATTAAGATGACTGTTGCTGATTTGCTACGTGGATTTGATGATAGATGATCAGTTGATATACTATGAAGAAAAAATTCACTGTACTTAAAAAATTACATTATAACAAACTCCGCCAACTTAAACTGTGCTACAGTGATATAAATGTAGATGTCTATTAGGTGCAGGACCTAAACTTCCTTTTGGCTTAACAATATTTGATATAAGATCACGAGAATAAAACCCAGGAAAAAAACATATTTGATTCTTTGCTTATTCTGAATTCCAAAGGGAAAATTATGTGAACAGGAAAGGAAAATAATATCAAATAAAATAATGAGAACGTTAAGGGTGGGAAAAGTTTGTATATACATTCATATATGATATAGGTGTACACATGTGAGTACATATACACAGATTAACAGCCACATTAGAAATCAGACAGATACTGAAGTCATTTAAAAGTCAAGATGATGCACAAAGCAGTCAGGCTATGCCTAGAAAGAGCAAGTTCGATTATCTTTCAAAAATCTTACAGAATCATTCCCATTTCTAGCCAAGTTTTTCTAAAATAGAGGGCCAGTCTCAAAGCAGTTTTCCTAACTTTCCATCAAATACATCTACTAACAGAACAGCAAGAAGCAAGAGAGGGGGTTGTCTATACTGCATTATGTGTAGCACAGAAGCAGGCTCACATTCAAAGAAAACTTGACCTCGTGGTTTTTTCTTGAGCACAGACAATATCTTGAGAATATTGCACTTGGTGCAATGTACTCAGTTTAGTTTATGAGATACTTCTACATACCTTTGCAGGTAAAAAATACAATCTAAGTGATAAAACTTGTCAAAATCTTTCTTTAGAAAATGACTGACAGTGTGTCATAAAAGAACAACTAGAATTGTAGATATGTCTGAAGTTAGGCTATTTTTCCTAGTAAATAGTAAAGATCAATAGCTTACTGTATCTTTACGATAAACATGTGTAGCTAGTCAGGGACAAAGTCAGAGAAGGAGACACAGTAAGTAATGTCTTCTCTCCTGAGTTAGGGCAAAAATAAGGAACTTTTACCTGTGGATCCAATGAAATAATCCCCATATTTGTTATGACCCTAAACTTTCTCTTTAAGCTTCTGTCTGCAAATATCTATGTAAATCTTACTTAGGCAAATTGCTTCTTTATAACTAAAGGAGCTGCTCCTCTAAAGACATCTGAAGCAATTTTGTAGCCCTCCCTTCCTTCCTCCCCAGCAAAACCAAATGCTTTTATATTAGTTTCTGTGACAGAAGCACAACAATAACTTTGAGTGTATTTACTACAGTTAGACAAATTTGAATCTGCATTTAAAACTAAACTTTTGGAAAAAAAAAAAAAAAAAAGAAATAAAAAAAAAATTGTTTGTATATATGTTAATATACTGATATAATTATTCTTGTGTATTACTGTATTACATCCTAATGTATCACAGAATCACAGAATCACAGAATCACCCGGGTTGGAAGGGACCTCAAGGATCATGTAGTTCCAACCCCCCTGCCTAGCAGGGCCACCAAACACACATTCAGATCAGGTTGCCCAGGACCCTGTCCAACCTGGCCTTGAACACATCCAAGGACGGGGCATCCACAACCTCCCTGGGCAGCCCGTTCCAGGGCCTAACCACTCTCCTTGTATAGAACTTCCCCCTCACATCCAACCTAAATCTTCCCTCCTTCAACTTGGATCCATTTCCCCTAGTCCTGCTGTTGTCAGCCCTTTTGAAGAGTATCTTCAAGTTCCTTTCAGATTTTCTCATATACACTATTTTCTGGTTCTGTTCAAGAGAACTCTTTGATGGATACCTGCCAAGTAAGCAGAGGGAACACCACACATTTTAAAAATTTATGATAATTGCATCTGGTTGTTTATCAGTGCAATTGATTGAAATTGAACACATCATCTGCAGTCTGCAAGGCCAAGAGAGCAAGAGTGTCATAGCTGAACTCAAGCTGTAATCAGGCAACCCCCTGAAGAACTGGTAAAACAGTATCATATACTTAAAAACCCTTGCTCATGTTTTTAAACACATTGATAAATGCTGAAGTTTAGTACGTAATTATGCAAAAGAAATATCAATATTTGGAATCTTTAAATTAATTTAAAATACATATTTAAGAAACACCTAGAAATATCATTTTTAGCACTAGTTCATAGCAAAGCCTAGTCCACTATTTAGTATTACCAATATTCCACTGAAAATACTTGAAACATTTCCTATTCCTGAAATACATGAATCCTGAATTGAGACATAAGATCTGGTTGCTTAGAGAAAAGATGTGACAATTCATGACAAGGCTTACATTTGATAGTTTTCCATGGCAATACATTTTTCTCAGTGTATGTCAGAAAAGATTTCATATGTATATATATATATACACAAAAATTAATACCTATTTTTGCTGTCCATGCTTTTAAGACTTGATACTGTCTGTGTATTTGTATTTATCCTTTGCTCTGTCACAAAACAAATCACAAACCTTCATTCTCCTCTTCAATACTCAGAAATCCTTCCTGAGTATATATATATAAAGAATAACATGCCTTGTCTCATTAAGAAACAGCAGAAGCCTTGATTTTAGCAAAAATATTTAAAATTATGATTTGAAGAAATAAGAATGATTCACAGAAGAAAACCAAGCTCAACAACATATAGTCAGATTTGTTGGAAGATTTATCATATTCGCAAACAAAAGCTTACATTTTAAATCTGATTTTTTTGTTGTCACTCTTTGAGCAATTCGCTAAAAACTTTAATCAGTTTATTTTCTCCACCCTCCTCAAAGGGAAAGTCACAAAGGTACACATACATACAAATGATTATTTTCCACCGCATTTTTTTCTTAAGACCAAATTCCCTCAAATATTGCTTAGAAAAAAAAAAGGTAATTACTGTAACTGTAGTCTATGAACAACAACAACAAACAACAACAAAAAAACCACACACGAAAAAACACAAGGAACATTAGAAGATCACTTCACTACAATACAGAAAAATATGAAAAAAATATATTAGTACCTTGCTCTCGCCACAATATATTTGCAACTGCAGCATGAAAGGGAAACAAAGAGCAGAAAACACAAATGAACAAGAAAAAAAGAAAACAACACAAAATGATAAATCACTTCTGAAATAATTAGGATGCTTTAACCTCTGATTCACTAAAATCTGAAAATCAATGGAAACAGTGGATTAACAATAGGATGAAACAAAGTTTTCTATGTCTAGCACTAAAGTAAAAAACAAAAAATGATTGAAGTTAAAATGAATCTCATCCCTCCCCATCCTCCCCCGCCACCCAAATTAACTCAATTAGCCTTCAACTGTGTGTTTCATGATTCATTATTAAAACAAAACAAAAACACATAAAACACATGGAATTACACATACGTGTATTAGGCACATTAACTGGAGGTGACACAATTTTGGTCATTTCCTTTAAGCACAACTGAATTTTGAGATTCATTTCAGAACATAGTTATGAGACAAACATGCAAAGCCAACATGCATATAAAATGTTCTTCTGTACTGCTGTAGCATATCTATGACACTGAAGATGAGTTGGTGTATGATATTTGACTCCAACTGTATTCAAAAGAACACAATTTGCGAGAGCAGTACAGAAGAATATTTTATATGTATCCAAGTTGTGTGTAAAATTA